TTCTCACAGTTACGAGGCTGGAAAGTCCAAAATCAAGACAACAGTATATTCAGTGTTTGGTGAGGGGTCACTTCCTGGCTTACAGACTCCAGTCTTTTCACTGTGTTCTCACATGGTGTAAGGGAGAGGAAGTTCTCTGGGACTTCTTTTACAAGGGCATTAATCCATTCGTGAGGGCCTTGCCCTCACAACCTAATTACCTCCCAGAGACCCCACCTCCAAATACTTATGATGGGGATCAGGCTTCAACATACGAATTTTGGAAAGGACGCAAACATTTAGTCTATAGCACCACTCTATTGCACTTAATAATGAAACACTGAAAGCTTTTCTCTTAAGATCAGGAACAGGACAAGAATATCTGCTTTCAACACTCCTGTTCAACATCATCCTGGAGGTCTGGAGGCATAGCCAGTACAATAAGAAAAGGGGGGGGAGGGGGAGGTTACATACAAACTGAAAAAGAATAAAACTGTTCTATATTCACAAATCACATGATTGTTCACATAGGAAAATTCCAAGTAATCTACAAAAATTTACTAGAGTAAGTGAGTTTAGCAAGGTTGCAAGATTCAAGGTCAATATGCAAAAACCAATTGTGTTTCTAGATAGCAGCAGTGAACAACTGGAAACTGAAATTTAAGAAAATTATCATTTATAATAGTATCAAAAATTATTAAATTCTTAGATACAAATCTAACAAAATGAGCAACAGCTGTATGCTGCAACTTTAAAATATTGACAGAAGAAAGACCTAAATAAATGAAGATAACTTGTGTTCATGAATTGGAAGACTGAATATTAAGATGTCAATTCTTCCTCAATTGATCTAGGCATTCAACACTGTCCAAATTAAAATACCCTTAGGATTCTTTGTAGAAACCAACAAGCTGTCTCTAAAAGTTTTATGAGAAAGCAAAGGAATTAGAATAGACAAAACATATTTTTGAAAAAGAATAAAATTCAAGGATTCTCATTGCCTAATTTCAAGATTTATTATAAAGCAAAAATAATTATGATAATATGTGAGTACTGACAAAACTGTAGGCACAAAGATCAAAGAGATAGTTCAGACACCGATTCATATAGACAGTCAACTGATTTTTGACAAAGTTAATTCAATTAACTTTGAAAGTGCTCCCAATAAATGGTGCTAGAAGAACTATATATTCATTTGAAAAGAAAATAAATCTTGACCCTTACCACACACCATATACAAAAACTAACTAAAAATGGATAAGGTGACAAAAATCCAAAACTTGTAGAAAAAAACATAAGAGGAAATCTGCACAACTTTGCACTGGGCATAAAGTTCTTAGAACACAGAAGCATAACTCATAAGAAAAAGTTGATAAACTGAATTTAATCAAAATCAAAAGCTCCTGTTTTAAAGTTAGAAAAATGAAAAAAAGTTTCAGATTGCAGTGTGTGCGTGTGTGTATTTACATCTGTGTCAAATGAGTTGTACAAAGAATGTATAAAGATTATTAAAACTCAGTAAAACAAACAATTCATTTTTTTTCAAATGGGCAAAAGACCTGAGCAGATACTTTACAAAGAAAGACATGCACGTGAGCAAATTCTTAGCATCATTAGTAATCAGGTAAATGCAAATTAAAATCACAGTATGATACCACCACACACACAAAAAAAAGGCCAAAATTAAAAATACTGAAATAACCAAATGGTGATGAGGATATGGAGCAACTGGAACTGTCATACACTGCTGGTGGATATGTAAAATAGGACAACCATTTGGAAAATAGTTTGGCAGTTTCTTATTAAACATTCATTTAACCATATAACCAGACAAACTCCACATCTAAGTATTTACTATGAGATATAAAAATACTTCACACAAAAACTTAGAATGAGTGAATGTTTGGAGTGGTTTTATTAATAACAGGCCCAAACTGGAAACAATCCAAATAACTATAAATAGGTGAAATTGCCAACAAATTGTGGTAAAACAGTACCATGGACTACTACCTAGCTATAAAAAAAGGTTAACCAGTTAAAAACACAAAAATATGAAAGATTCTCAAAAACATGCTGAGAGAAAAAAACCATAAACAAAATAGTATATATTACAAATTCCACTTATATGAAAGTCTAGAAAAAATCAAACCAATTTATAGTAAGTATAAGAGGATGAATGGTTTCCTGGTGCTGAGGATAAAAGTGTGATTGACCACAAAAGGGCAGATGGAAAAGGGGGCGATGAAAGTATTCTACATCTTCACTGTGGTATGCAAATACTCCAATCTTGACTGTGGTGATAGACATGGGTACACACATCTTTTAAAGCAAAATAAACTGCAAATTTTAAATAAGTACATTTTGTTATATCTAAGTTACCCTCAATAAAGTTTATTTTTTAAGAGAGTGCTCTCTTAGAACAGTATTAACCAGGTAACACTGACTACCTCAAAAGATGTTAAAAAAAATCTGAGAACACTTAATACCCATTGATGGTTTTTTAAAATGTCAACAAAAACAAAAACACAACAATAAAATCATCTTGGAAAGCCAAAAAGAGAAGAAAAAATTTTAACTTAATATTGGCTATGTATCAGAAAGCTTCAGCAAATATAATTAATGTTAAAACATTAGAAGCATTTCCCTGAAAGTCAGAAACACCAAGTTTTTAGCTATCAGTGCTATTATTCAACATTTTATAGGATGTATAACTGTAAAAGCAATGAGAAAAAAATACTTGAGTTATTAAAATTAAAAAGGAAACCACAAACAGTGGATATTTTGATAACTGTCAACTCAATAAAATGATTCAACACATGATAAGCAGAGAAAACTAAAAAGCCTCCCTATAACGGTTATACATAAGAGAAAGATATTACTGAAAGTTTCCATCCACCACACCAATCAAACCATAATATAGCTAGAAATACTGAGAAGAAATGTCATACACATGAGGAAAAACTATGAAACTTTCCCTAAGACTATAAAACAAGAAGCGAATAAAATGGAGAGAACACATTCCTGAGGGAAAGACTCAATACAATAAAGGTCAGTTGTCTCCAAATTAATCTAAAATTTCAATATAAACTCATTCAAAATAGTTAAGAATTTTTTGTTTAAATCACAGATTGAGTCTAAAGTTCACGTAGAAGAAATGCATAAGAAATAGTCAAGTTTTTGTTTTTAATAAGGAAAGAGAAATGCTTATCATATCCTTTATATGCATACTCTAACGCATAGTTTAACTGAGCAATTCCATTTCTAGGAATCAAGGCTCCAGACAAAAAATCACACATAGAGGAAGTTTGATGAATTATTAACAGTGGCTGGCTGACTCTTGGGATGCAGGTAGGACTAGAAGGGGAAGTGAGAGTTGCATTTTTTTACTTTACATTCTTCCGTACTGTTTGAATTTTTTAAATTAAGGATAAAAACTTGTAAACATCAATTAGAAAGTTGGTTTTATTATAGAGCATCACTTGTGCTAGCAAAAAGAAATTGCAATTAATTTAAATGTCTTTCAACAAGGGAAAAGTTATATTGTAGTCCATTCAAACTGAGGAAATAAATACTGCTTAGTCTTTTAAAAAGTGTAAGGGATACCTATATATAGCTAGGAAAGAAGCCCAACATATAACTAAGTGAAAAAGCAAGTGATATACAAACGTGTCTGGTATGGCAATCTTCAAAAAAAAATGTGCATGTATGCATATGTGTTTAAAAATACAATTGTAAAAAGATTTGGAAAGATGAACACTAAACTGTTAACCCTACACTGGAGTGGGACTGGGAGACGAAAAGAAACATTCACGTTTTACTTAATGATCTTTTATTTATACTGCTGAAGTTTACATCAAGTTTGCATGTCTGTAATTAATTTTAAAAATTGAGATTTCATATAAAAATGACATGAACCCCCAAAGACAATTACAACACTGAAAAAATAGTCTTAAATGTTTACTACTGTTATCCTTGAATTTATTTGCATACTCTTCAAATGATCTGTAGTCTTCGGCTAAGGTGACTGCCATTTTAACGAAACGTTACCAGATAGTTCATGATAAAAACAACAGAATATATTAAGCCTTAAAAAAAAAACAAAAAAAGTAAACTTCACAGAGCCAGCAGACCCAAAGCAGTGCCTCTATGCGGCTATAATTTTTTTTTCCTTAACGTCCAGAGAGTGAACTCTCTCAGATTATTCATCTTCTCTGCCAAAAAGACCATCTACCGCCTCCCCTTTTCTTCAACGTGGTCTGTGCGCCTTTAAACTCACCATTTTGAATGTGCGCAAAATGATGAACAGGCAGTGATCTCAGGGCGGCCAAACGAAAGGTGCATCCGCCAGAGGCGTGCTCCGGCCGGCCGAGGCTAACGGGGAGCAGCGCTGATGGAAGCGGGCTGAGAGCGGGGGAAGAACGACCGCTATGGTTGTACAGGGTGTCTGCGTGCCCCAGCCTCGGTGACAATCGGGGGGAAATGCAAACACATCCCGCAAGGCGACAGCACCGAAGGTTTTTCGGGGGCGGGGGGCTGCAGGCCTGTGGCGTAAGATGGATCCGAGCCACGCAGGGGGACATGGAAACCGGCAGAGGGGGCGGGTGTGAGGTGTCGCTGAGGGGCACCCTCCAGGACCGTCGCGAGTGTGGGGAGAAAGGCTCCGGGGTCCTTGGTCCTGTCACCAAGGACAGCAGAAGAGGCAGCAGGAAAACGGCCGGCGGAGGCCCCCCGTTAACAACCGGTGCCATCCGTCCCGGCGGCAACGGGCGCGGCGGCCCCGGAGACCAGCGCGGTCCCGGGTCCGGAATGGACGCGGCCGGGAGGCGAAGAAGGCCTCTCACAGCCATCAACCCCACCCACCATGGCCGGCGCAGCGGGCCTGGCACAGGCCCCGCTCCTTCCCGAGGAGAGAGTAGGGAACTGAGAAGCTGAACGCAGCAGTTTTTCCTCGTCCGACCCCCACACTCCCGACATCAGAACAAGCCAGATTAAAAAAAAAAAAAAAAAAAAAAATCCCTCACCGAAATGTGCAGCGGCTCCGGAGCGAGAACAGCGCTCGAACCTCCACCCGCCACCACCGCCTTCTTCTCCGCCTCCGACTCCTCCCCCGCCGAACGCGCAGCAGCAGGCGGCTGCGGCGGCGGCGGCGGCAGCGGCGGTGGCGGCGGCGGAAGCTGAAGCGGCGGCGGCGGCGTGTCCCGCCCCCAGCGCCGCGGCGAAGGCAGAGAAGGGGGAGCACGTAAGCCCCGCCCCCAGACAGTGCTGACCAATAGGCTTGAACAGCCTCTGCGGGGAGGAAGGCACACACCCAATCGGAATCCGAGGAGTGGGCTCACGTCAATGGTTGGGACGTGGCAGAAAAAGGGAAAAATACTTGGCAGGTCTCTACGTCCGGCTCCCCCATCGCCGTTAGGGGGGCTTCACCAATGGGCGGAAGAGCAGAAAGACCCAGCCCGACTCCGCCCCGCCCCGGCCAGGCCCGCCTCCTGTCCCTGCGGCACTGCGACGTTTGGGGCACCGCGTCGGAGCTGAGACAGCACTGCCTTTTGTGGTTTGGGCTGGGAGAAAAGGGCGGGGTCTCGGGGAAAGGGAAGGGGGTGTGGAGAACTAAAGGAAGGACTGGCGCAGTTAAGACTTTTTCAGAAATTCCAACGGCAGCAACCAAAATGGAGGCATGAAAATCGATCCTAAAACCTGATGAACAAGGTTAAGATCTCCTGGTATAAAGTTCAGTCAACTGCAGTTCAGATATCGGTGGGAGAAGAAAAAAATAACAGGAGGAAGAGCACGTTTGCCCACCCTGACTCTACACCCTATATACAGTTAGGGCTTCCTCCCCTTGCCTCCCCCCCCATCAGACCCTGGCCCCCTCATTTCTGATTCTGCTGGGGCGGGGGCGGGGTATAAGGGGTGGCCTGTCTTTCCTCTGTCTAGCCTTGTCCTGACCAGAGCCTTCCAATTTGCATCTTGAGACTGATCGGTTGTCAAGCCAGGAAGTAACAGCTCCCATCACGTGCAACCAAAATAAACACAGCAGCTGTAGTACCCGGACACCTGGCTTAATTGAAACCCGACTAACAGTTTAGTCAATTATGTCAGTGATACAAAATTGTTTTTTCGTTCCGCACATGTCTTCTTTTTTCATCCTGAAACTTGTCCGCTTCTCTTATTACAGTCCCCCTCTCCTCTCTTATCCCCCTCCCCTTATCGCCCAGTGTCTAGGATATATTTATCGCGTCCCCTCCCCTACGAATTAAGAGCCCCACTTTGTGTGCCGCTCCCGACAACTGCAAAATCTGCCAGTGAACTGAGACAGGTTTTTTTTCATTGTTGATGGAAACAAATTATCCAAAATGTATTGTGGAAACTTAGGTTATGAGAATTTGCCAGACATTTTGTGAAACTAAATCTAATTCCCAGTCCACACCTATAGTACCTATCTTACCAAGAAACCATTCCTCACTTGTTATTAATCTGACTTTAAACAGGTTGCCGTAGGACTGTGACTCTTTACTCATTCAAGTCCTTCTCTCGTTGAAAAAAATTCGTATTTTAATTACATATCCCTAATTTCTTTTTACGGTGTTGCAGATTGGTCCAATTGGTTACAACTTAACCTGTTTGGGGGGGCAGGGTTTCCCAAATTTCAATCCTTTTCATACTATATCTGTATATACAACTTACAGTATAATTTTTTTCTTTAAATATGTATTTTCCTTCAATTTCTGTAAGAGGAAGACTTTACAAAAATACTGTCAATGAAAAACTACCATCTCCTATCCTAAGTTGAATGTAACTAAGAAAAGTGAATGTAAAACAATGTTTTAAAATGCTGACTAGAACAATTACCCACCAAAATTTCTGAGCCTAAAGCTCACTTTCTTGGTTAAAAGAGTAAGTTACCAACTATTCAACACATAGTGAAGATACAGTACTGGAGTGATATTTTTATGGTGATGTAACCAAAGGATAGAAAAGTAGAACCAAAATAGCAATCACTTTTCACTATACGAGTTACTGGTTTTAGTCCTGCAGACATGTCCAAACTACAGTCATCCCAGACATCATAACTGATCTTTGAGAAACACTAGTGTGAAGACTGAAATATTGTATTCTAGACTCAAATAGACTATTTACATACTATTTCCTGCATTTGTAGCTATGTGCCTCTGGGAAATCTGTTTACCTCTCTGGCCTTGAAACTGACCCAATTTTCCCACAAACCAGATGCCCATAGAATTGAAACTTGGAAAAACTTACATTTGTACAACGAGAGGCACTACTACCTGTTGACCAACTCCTCTTCATTGTCACTTGTGTTTTCCTTCCCCACTGCATAAACCCTTAATTTTACTGCAGGAGGAGGGGACAGATTTGGGGTTTGTCTCTTGTGTCTTTGGCTGATGTCATTGATAATAAAGACTTCTCCCCTGGCAATACCTGTTATCTCAGTGATTGTGGCAAGCAGTGAGACCTAGGCTGAACCTCTGGCATTCGGTAACGGCTTCAATTTTCAATTTATATATGGGAAAGTAATAATACCTATTCATGGGTTTTCGCATAAATCAAATAACCCTAATCATTGTAAAGCTTACTATACCTAGAATGAAGTACTAAATACATATTAGCTTATGTATTGTACTATATAGAGATAGATAATATGTTTTATTAGCTTATATATATTATTATTGTTGATTCCAGGGTTGGGAAGCACTACTTAAGGCAATGTGTTGAAGGTACCTCACAATATAATGCAGTGATTTTTGAAGAGTGATCCCTAGACCAACAGCATCAGCATTTCCTGGGAACTTTTTAAAATGCAAATTCTCAGGTTCAACCTCAGACTTGCGTCAGGAACTCTAGGTGTGGTGCCCAACTATATTTTAACAAGCTTTCCAGGTAATTCTGATGTGCATACAGTTTGTGACCACTAATATAAATAAAAAGAGGCTTGGTCAAGGAGTGAGAGGATCTGTGTTCTAATCATAGATTTAGAGCAGGAATACCCAAACTTTTGGCTTCCCTAGGCCACATGGAGTAACCATTTGGCTTCCCTGGGCTGTGTAAAGAGAAATTGTCTTGGGTTATACATAAATTATATAATATAGTTAGAAGATATACATAATAAGACTTCCTTTATTTTTTATTATGAAGTTTGGAAAAAATGAGAACAACATAAAAAATGAGAAATTTGACCTTGATTTTGGTAAAACTAATCTATCATTGTCTAGTTTGATGGACGTGGTTGCAATTCTTAGTGAGTTCTCAAGGTACTTTTCAGAAATGTGTGTTCGAATTTTGCTCTTGGTGTGCTTCATAATTAAAAAAGAGCTGCTCACAAATGTATGTGCGCCAAAATGCGATGTCATAAATAAGGCATGATTGTGAACTTCAGAAATGGAATTACACATCGGTCATGTAGAAAATAAACGCTAAAAAATACATGATGTTAAAAGATTTTGTGGGACTGCATTACTTGCTGTCCTGGGCCACATGTGGCCCATGGGCCGCTGGTTGGACGTGCCTGGTTTACAGTGAGGTCAGCTAAAATGTAGGTGCAAGGACTTCTGAAAATTCTCTTCTCCATAAAAACAAGAGAATTTTGGCAAAATTGTCAGAACCTACTTTTTTTGAACTCAGAAAATTAGCCAAAGGCTTTCAGCTATCCAGGGAGCATTTATTCAAGAGAAAATAGCTGAATCTGTGAGAACAACAAGTTGTGTGGCATTTTGACTTGCCCTATTTTAATAGCCTTATCTCCAGTTCCACCATAGCTTTGAAAACCAACAGCCCACGATTGTGAAAATGAGCAGGTTAGTAGCCAGCAGGGGAAGCAGAATAGAGTTGGAGCTTTTATAGCTGCCTTCCCAGAGAACTGTCATTATATTACCTATCTGTTGTTTCCCTAGAAAATCTCACAAGGTTTTCTTATTTGCTTTCACTCAAGCCCCACCCAATGCAAAAAAGTCTTTTCTCCAGAGGACATTTGTAAAAAACAACTAGAGGCAATTGATTAACTGTGCCACTATCTTAGGCAGTGGAAATAGATGGGGCGAAAGATAAGTTTACCAAAAAAAAAAAATAAACAAAACTTAAAAGGAAAAACTGGAGAATGAGAGATCCATAGGAACTTTGAAAAGTTTCAACATATTCCTGAGGACCTAAAAGTCCACACATATGCCCATGGGTGAACTAAACTATGTATATGCTCAAGAAAGACCTGAGAAGGTAATATACATTCATCTTAGGCTGACCTTGAGGGTCTACGGAAGTAAGAAGTGAAGCCTAAGGAGGGGTTGTAAACTACTTGGCTTAGAGCTGAAGTACATACATGCAGACCCCCAACAAGCACTGAGATGTATTAGTTCCAAGCATTTAAGGACATCTATCTAATCATTAGCTGAACACTAAGCTAACCAAGCAGTGCCTGTGGCCACACAAATCAAAGAATACAGACTCTATAGAAGTGGTTCAGAAAAGTGACTAAGCAAACAACAATAACAACAACAATAAAACCTGAGGAGAAGAAAGAGTCTAATTTTCAGAGTTGCTACATTATTATTTTTAAGTTTCTGGTTTTCAACAAAACCAAAAGCTGGTTCTTCAAAAATATTTTTTTAAATGATGAGCCTTTAGCTAGACTAAACAAGAAAACAAGAGAAAAGATTCAAATTACTAAAGTCAGAAATGTAAGAGGGGACATTACTACTAACCTTAGAGAAATAAAAAGTTATTGTAATAAAATATTGAGAACATTTGTATGCTAACAGTCTAGAAAACCTAGATAAAATGACAAATTTCTAGAAAGACACGCTACCACAAGTGACTCAAGAAGAAGTAGAAAACCTAATCTTAGCTTTTTCATCTATGATCTAAATTACTTTGGTTTATTTACTATTCCTGAGTCTAAGTTTCCTGAGCTAGAAAATAGAGATAATAATATAATGTTTGTGTCATAGCATTTAAGCAAGTTAAAAAATATGGAGATCTTTTATTTGTTATATATTAGCAACTGTAATAAACACAACCCTCAAGGCTTAGTAGCACAACACAATAGTGTTTATTATTAAAAACTCATCTAGCAGTATGAGTGGGCTGCTCAGCTTTACATTCAGAAGCCTGAGCTCTGTTGTCTTTAATACATGGCTTTCATTAATAGATTGAGATCAATATCCAGCCAATAGAATGGAAGAGCATGAAGGAAG